TGCCCCAGACTCTGCACTTTTGGAGGCAAACCTCTGGCCTCTTTCTGCAGAAGCTGCTGCCTTTCCAAGCAATCCTCTTGGGTACAGTCAAGGTCAATCCTGCCCTATGTGACTCTCTTAGACTTGTCTTCTGTGAGAGTAAATTACTTCCCCAACTACAGTCCCTACCTGATGTTGAGGCCACTTTTACTAGCTCTGGTCCTTTAGGTTTCTCAGGCATGAGCAGGCACCAGTCCGTGGTGTTCCCAAAACTGCAAGGAACATCCATGGAGCTCTCCAGGAGGTCTGCCTTAAGTCCCTCTCACTAGACTTCAGGTGAGAGAAAAGCCCTCTTCCCCTCCCTGTGGTAAATGCAGACAAAGGGCCTCTTAGAACGCCTATGACAGGGTAAATGAGAAATTCAAGAACACTCCTTTGCAAATCCTATATAGTAGTCTAGAACTTTGCTTGGAATGTGACTGTGGTCGACAACTATTATCTGGGGCCTCTCTCAAAATGGGAATAAAATAAAGGCTTCCATTTACTCCTGTGAGCAGATGTACTCTCATTATCCTTCCAATTGCCTTTATAAGGTTTTCTTTAATAGGCAGTTTTGATAATGATCAAATGCCATTTCAATGACTTCCTATGAAAGTTTTTTTTTTTTTTTTTTTTTTTGAGACAGAGTGTTGCTCTGTCACCCAGGCTGGAATGCAGTGGCCTGATCCCAGCTCACTGCAACCTCCGCCTCCTGGGTTTAAGCAGTTTTCTGCCTCAGCCTCCTGAGTAGCTAGGATTACAGGCTTGTGCCACCATGCCCGGCTAATTTTTGTATTTTTAGTAGAGACGAGGTCTCACCATCTTGGCCAGGCTGGTCTTGAACTCCTGACCTCGTGATCCACCCATCTTGGCCTCCTAAAGTGCTGGGATTACAGACATGAGCCACAGTGCCCAGCCAATTTTTTTTTTAAAGGAGTCTTGCTCTGTGGCCAGGCTGGAGTACAGTGGCGCAATCTCAGCTCACTGCAACCTCCGATTCCCTGGTTCAAGTGATTCTCCTGCTTTGGCCTCCCAAGTAGCTGGGATTACAGGTACACACTACCTTACCCAGCTAATTTTTTGTATTTTTAGTAGAGAGGGGTTTCACCATGTTGGCCAAGATGGTCTCTAGCTCCTAACCTCATGATCCACCTGCCTCAGCCTCCCAAAGTGCTGGGAGTACAGCCACTGCGCCCCACCCCCCGATTTTGTTGTTTATCAGAGACTACTTGGATTGCCAGTTGTTGGATAAGCTTTGGCAATGACTTTGTTATACAGAGATTTTTATTGTAACGACAGTCATTGCAATTGGACCAACAGCAGGGATTTCCAGAATCCCTGAGAGCATTATTTATGAGCTGTGCTTCTCAATTTTGTTTTTTCAAATGAATTAGGGAAGTGATTTGAATCATAAAATAACAACAACGAATTGGCTGCCAAAGAGAAAGAAAATGAGCAAGAATATAAAATTTCCTTGTAATTCTAAATGTTTGTAGTGGTTTCAGTTAGATAGTAAATTCACTTATATCAGAAAAACCAACACCAACCTCCACCCCCTCAAATAGATGGATGTTTGTGCTATTCACCAGAGTTAGGATATTAGCCTTGTAGAACAACGTGGTTTCGGAATCAGGATGCCTAGTTGTGGATGTGTAGAATGTTGATGTCTCTGAGTATGACTCTCCATTTTACACAAAATCTGACAAAGTTTGTGGCTGGCATCTCTTTCTGGGCCTAAGCTCTGCTTCTTCCATGTGCCAGTCTCTTACTCCGTGCCTGGCTCTTTCCTCACAGCCTCCTCATTTTGGCACACTATCACTATCAACAGGTCATTTGAAGGTACAAAATGAATCTTTGTTTGTATTTTTTAAAAAGACAGCCAGTTCTGATCAAACTCCTTACCATCGACAGGACACACATGAGCGTTCTGAGATCAGAAGAAAAGAGTTCACATACGAGAGGGCAGAACCAAGCTCAGTGGTCTAGGGGTTCTTGGGAACAGAGGGAGTGCTGCAGATGTTAGAGAACCTATATCCTCCACCGACAATGGCCATTCCAGAGATGGCCTTTGAATTGGAGGTAGAAGTGGACAGGACCTTTATTAAAGGTCACATTTTACAATGGATCAATGTGACAACCTCCCAAGTGATGCCAAGGAATAGTACATACTCTGAGAGCTAGCTTCCTGTGAAAAGGAGTTAGAAGAGGATGCAGGAAGATCCTCACAAATATGTGCTTGCCTCATCAACACAGCAATTCCTCACTCCCACTTCCCAAACACTCAGGACCAAGCTGCCCTGGGGCCTTTGCTGGTCTTTGTGAGGTAGGAGCAGGTGCTGGCTGGAAGCCTTCAGAGACTCATTTAAAATTCATCTCTGAAAAAAATATCCAAAAGAAAAAAAGACAACCAGTTCTGGAGAAGTATTTCAGTCTTACACCCATATATGATTTAAAATATCCAAGGTCACATTGACACATGGTGGACAACAAATTTTAACAGATGGGATACCAAGAAAAAGGCACAGAGAAGACAGTGTTTTGTGTGTACTCTCAAAGCTTCACTTGAACCCTCTTGACATTAACAGAATCTGTTTATAGCAACCAACTCTCCTTCATGGTCAGCATTTTAACATACAGCTTCAGCTGGTAATATCACTGTCAGAAATGTAATTCATTTTGCTTTTGGGGTTTATTTAGAGGGACATTTTGGAGATGAAGGCGGCAGTGATTTAGTGGTTCTGAGGAATGGCACTGAGCCTGCAATCCCCACAAACTCAAGTTGGTTTTTTTAGGAAACACAGCCTGGCTCTAAATGAAAATGAAAATGCTGAAATAAATTAAACCTGGTGCAAGGGTTCTTAATCCTTCCACAAAAAATTGGGGGAGGGGAAAGTAAGAGCATTTTATAAATTGGGAGCCCTACTCCCAAGAAAGGCAGTGACATGGCATGAGCATGTCAGAATCACCTGTGGTTCTTCGTCAAAATACTTCTGTTCTGGTTTCCCGAGCCACCTCCAGTCAGGTTTTGACCCCGGGTCTGAGGTGGACCCAGCATGTTTGTTTTTCTAGAGCCCCCACTGGTGATTCTGATGTGAAAACAGAACACCATTGCTCTGTTTGAGGGACAACTAACTCTCTGGCTGAATCTAGTTCTGAAAGAATGAATTGGAAGATCTAGCTAGAAGGCTCTTTCCGGTATTGCAGAGAGAAATGAAAGACTTGGGGACAGAGAGTGGGGGTATCATCAGAGGTGGGGTCCATGGATGGGCCTCAAGAAATTCTTTTTTTTTTTTTTTTGAGGCGGAGTTTCACTCTTGTTACCCAGGCTGGAGTGCAATGGCCCGTGATCTCGGCTCACCGCAACCTCCGCCTCCTGGGTTCAGGCAATTCTCCTGCCTCAGCCTCCAGAGTAGCTGGGATTACAGGCACGTGCCACCATGCCCAGCTAATTTTTTGTATTTTTAGTAGAGACGGGGTTTCACCATGTTGACCAGGATGGTCTCGATCTCTTGACCTCGTGATCCACCCGCCTCGGCCTCCCTAAGTGCTGAGATTACAGGCTTGAGCCACCGCGCCCGGCCTGCAATTCTTAACTTTGGGGGAGTCAGACCACTTTGAGGGTCTGATGAATGTGATAGTTACTTTCCTCAGAAAAATATGTATAAGCTAAATTCCCACAAAATTGAGCATATACTTTCAAGGGAGTCTAGACTAAGATTCAGTTTTTGCTTTTGCCGTTTTAATTGGATAATGGTCCCATTCATTAAAGTAAGGAAAACAAGAGAAGACAAGATCCCTAGTCTCGGGACGCTTACAGTCTAGCAGCCAGGAGAAAACAGTTACAAGAAATCAATATATAGAAAAACAAAAAAGAATCAATATACACATAGTAGACAATAATCACAAGAATTGTGGGGAAAAGAGAGTTCTGGAACCAAACATTAATTGCAGAATTTGAATATGCCGAATTGGAGAAGGTTCTTAGAAACACCTGGCTGGGCCGGGCGCGCGCGATGGCTCACGCCTGTAATCCCAGCACTTTGGGAAGCCGAGGTGGGCGGATCACTTGAGGCCAGGAGTTTTGAGACCAGCCTGGCCAACGTGGTGAAACCCCATCTCTACTAAAAAAGCAAAAATTAGTCGGGCATGGTGGTGGGTGCCTGTAGTCCCAGCTACTCAGAAGGCTGAGGCGGGAGAATCTCTTGAACCCTGGAGGCGGAAGTTACAGTGAGGTGAGATCGCGCCACGGCACGCCAGCCTGGGAGACAGAGCGAGACTCTGTCAAAAGAAGAAAGAAAGAAAGAAGAAAAGAAAGAGAAAGGAAGAAAGAGAAAGAGAAAGAAAGGAAAGGAAAGAAAAGGAAAAGAAAGAGAAAGAAAGAAAGAGAAAGAGAAAGAGAGAAAAGAGAAAGAGAAAAGCAAAGAAGAAAAGCCTGCTTGGAGAGGCAACAGTTTAAAGGAGACAGGTGTGGTACTGAAGCCCCCAAAAGAATGGAGGGCAGGCTGACAAAGGCAGGTTGATAAAGGAGGGTCCTCTGTGGGAGGCCAGAGAGGCTGTGCTTGGAATGAGGTTCATGATGAGCCCGGGATAAAAACGGCATGGATCCACGCTGCTGCTAGAGTCACTAACATAGTGACATGGGGCCCTATGGTAGGTTGGGGGTTTGGGGTGGGGGAAGCTGTTAAAACGCTGATAAACACAGTTTATGACGGACTCAGGCAAGACGGGAGGAAAGCTACAAGCTGGCGCTAGGAGGGTGGCCTTGGTATCTGCTATTCGTCGCCAGGGTCAGAAGTTGGCTCTGTGTTTGTTCAATACGATGAAAGGAAAGAAAGAAAAAAAAAAAAAAAAAAAAAAAAAAAGCGGGACAGCCTGAGTGGAGAACTACGTTCAGCCAATGGGCATGAAAATGAATTTTAGCTGTTATGTGCAAAATCCCTAGGTGTGTGAACGGAAGGGAGCCAGGCAGAAGGTTACGACAGGTCAGGAATAAATAACCACCGGGCGGAGGATCCCAGATTCCGTCCTTCCTTTTGTTGGATGAGGAGCGCCAGGCAAACGCATCCACAAAGGCTTCGGAAGTGGCTCGCCCGTCCACACCCGGCTCCTGCCCCGGGTGACTATTAGGGGCCCCGGGGGGTGGCACAAGCCCAAGACCCGGGGGATCAGCTCTCCCCGAGAGGCCTAGCAGCAGGGACCCCAGAATAAGTCGGGGGCGGGCCCCGGCGCGGCAGGAGGGGCCAGGCGGGCGGGCGAGCAGATCCCACCCCTTCCTGAAGGAAGCGCCCTCCCCGCCGCGACTTGCCGCCGCCGCCACCACCGCCGCAGGTCACAGCCCCGCGAGGCGACAGCGGCCCCGCCGCACCAGAGCAGGTAGGCGCGGGGCCCCCTCCTCCGCCCGGGCCCGCCGCGCAGCCAGGGGGCGTCCGGCCCGGCCCCGCGCGCAGCCGGCAGGCGGAGACCGGGGACGGCGGGGGCTGCAGCGCGGCTGGGGCGGCGGGGTCCGCCCGGCTGCGGGGCCCTGCTCGGCTGCGGCCCCCTCCCATGGCGTCCCGGGCGCGGGGTCGCCCCCCCGAGCCCTCCGCGGGCGCACGCTCCCCGCGAGTCCCGGAGTCGGTGCCGGCTCTGCGCCGCGCGCTGCGAACCCCGAGCCGGCGCGTCTTGGTCCCCGCCGCCGCAGTGCAGCCCGCCCGCTGCGGCCCCGGCCCCGTCCTTTGACAGGTGTCCCTACCCGCCGCCCCATCCTCTCGGTGGCGGGTCGACTCGGCTGAGAAGCGACCCTAAGTTTGACCTCCCGGTCCCCGTGCCATTCTCCCTGCACTTTGCCGTTAGCCAGGTCAGGCTGGCTCGGGAAGGAGGCAAGAACTTGCTTTGCCCTGTGCACCGCCCGCCACTGTAAATGCACAGTCTTCCCTCCTTTCCTGGGTGCACACTTGGGAAGAAATAGGATTTTCGGTTTTTCGGTGGGAGGCCGTGGTAGGTGGGTTACCTAGGCTCTTTTGTAATCCGCTGCAATAAAAAAGTGATTAACTTCCTTGAGTGGTTTTCCCCTCCTTAAATGAATCAAATGGAGAATGAGAGGGTTTTCCCATTTTAAGTTCACATTCCTTTTCTCTCTACTCGTTCCCTTACTCCATCCTACCTCCACAGTACTTTATGATGTCCCAAACATTTCATTGATCTTTTTGGTCGGGTTTATTCTGGCCAGACAGCCTTTCACGGTTGGGCCAGGATTGTGACTGCATGTGGGAACATAACTCTGGTAGAATGGTAGAATCCATCTTCCCGAGTGAACCCATTCTTATGTCCTACATGCGAGGTCCTGTTGGGGAACCAAATGTACTAATGCCATGCTGAAAAACAAAACCAAATAGTTATTGGATCTCAAACAATAACAAAGCCTAAATGGCAAGATCAGTTTCTGTTTCTTCATTTCTCTGCTTGAACCAAAGATATTTTAATAGTGCAGGGTTATAACTCCATTCTGGGCAGCAGTTCATCAAAAGGATAGTTGAGTGTGGATGTATAAACTCCAGGTTGGCAGTTGTTAAACTGACCTACTTAAAGTTTCCTATTTCAAGGAAAAATTGTCAAGTCCATATATGTGACCGATCAGAGAATTTTAGTCTCAGCTCTCATGTATTAAATCCCCAACTTTTTCTCGTATGTGTTCCAGAGTCTCCATGTTTCCAAGATTAACCATAGCTGTCATCTGTTAATGAGCTAGAAATGTGAGTTTAGTCTTCAAGGCATAAGCATAGGAATTTTCATGATGCGTCCTTTATACATTATTTAATAAATGTTTTGCACGTCCCCCAAGTTGGAAGCTCACAAACTGCACATGGTAAATAAAAAGGTAAAGAAGTTTTGCTAACAATAATGACTAGTTGATTGATGTTATGACATTAACAATTATTAAAGTATTTGAAAAACACTTGAATGCATGTTTATTATAATCTGCCATTAGCTGAATGTAATCTGTTTGAATTATTTAAATAAGCATTTAAGTCTTCAGAACAATTGCTTAATTCATGCATTTCTCACAAATGCCTTTTCCATGTTGCTTTGTGGGGGGATAATTTGCTCTATGGAGTATTTTTTTTTTTCATGAACATAATAATGCCTTATATTTAGCCTTTGTTATAGAACTACCACAATCATGTTCACAATGACCTTGCAGGGGTTTTTGTGCTCACTTTACCTGCTTTGCAGTTGTCAAGTGGCAAGGCCCTTTGCTTTACACTCTTGTCTGTCTTCCTGCTTTGTCTCCCCTGTGACCCATGCCTCTTCAGTACAGTGGGTCAGATTAGCAGGGCATCTTGGAGTCATGAGAGAGGAAAAACCAGTTGGCCCCTGCAATCTCAACCATTTGGTTTCACTGTAATCTGGCCATTTGGGATCAGTTCAGTAACCAATTAAGCAAGACAAACACTGACAAGATAATGTATTACTTCTCAGTCATACCCTTTCAGAGAAGAATCTGTAACACTCAGCATCAGCACTACAGTGTGATTAGGTTCTGGTAAAGGTCAAATGAGATGTGTGCCGAAGTTCCCAAAACACGATACAGAGTTCAAGTGTTATTGAATCTGCATTTAAGTTCATGAAAAGGGTAGGACTAGACTCAGGTATGTAATAAATATTTTCCTAATTCTAAGGGTAACAACAGAAGTATGTCCCTCCTTTTTTCTTTCTTTCTTTCTTTTTTTTTTTTTTGAGATAGAGTCTCACTTTGCTGCCCAGGCTGGAGTGCAGTGGCACAATCTCAGCTCACGGCAACCTCCACCTCCCAGGTTCAAGTGATTCTCCTGCCTCAGCCTCCCAAGTAGCTAGGATTATAGGTGCCCACCACCATGCCTGGCTAATTTTTTTTTTCTTTTGTATTTCTAGTAGGGATCAGGTTTCACCATGTTGGTCAGGCTGGCCTTGAACTCCTGACCTCAAGTGATCCACCCGCCTCAGCCTCCCAAAGTGCTGGGATTACAGGTGTGAGCCACCATGCTCAGCTTCTACTTAGCTATACATTTTTACTCCTGGAGTTGATGGTGCCATGTATCTTTATATTTTTTCATAGTTGTTCTAAGCACTTTCAAACTTGTTCATATATTACTGGAACTTTAAGTTATTGTTATCACCAAATATCATTTCCTGGTATGTTTAGATTTTTTTTTTCTGTGTGGCATGTTTAGGTTTCAAAAGACAATTTGTGGCAATGGAAAATCAATCATCATGCAAAGAGATTTTAGATGGGCCATTTAGAATATTTTGAGATAATAGTGTAATCTTTGGCAGTGGCCTTCAAATTCAGCCCTACACTATTCTGAGTCAAACCAGTTCTCGTAGGTAGGGCTTGGAGCTCTTTTACCAAGTGAGAAATGAATATTTTCCTTTTTGGCATCTATAAACAGCCTTTTCCAGATCAGTGCTGTCCAAAAGAACATTCTGCATCGATGGACATGTTCTATCATCTGTCCAGTATGATAGCCATGAGACACATGTGGCTATTGAGCACTTGAGTGTGGGCTAGTATAATTGAGGAACTGAATTTTAAATTTTATTTAGCCTTCATTAATTTAAATAGCCACACGGGTCTAGTGGCTACCATATTGGACAGTATAGTTCTAAATTTTCTCCCCATATTTCCTAGAGAGATAGCACTTACGGGCAATTGTCCTTTAATTAAAAAGAAAAGTGGCAATTGGCATTGATAATACCAGAATTAAGATTTGACTTCATAATCCTATTGCTATGAGAAAGCACTTGCACTTGCTCTGAAGAAGATATTTTGTGCTGAAGTTCAACTCTACTCTAAAAGCAATTTCCCTTTTTAATTTCTATGTGTCTGCTAGCCCCAGTAATAAGCATCACCCAGAGTTGTTTAGATGCTTGGCCCCTTGTGTCACTGTTCATGAACTTGAGCTTATTTGCTCTTTTTCACATTATAGATAATTTATTCTTGGAGTCAGCTGCTGTACATTTCAATTTTTCAAAGGAGAGGAGATTCAGAGAAAGGTAGGAAGTAGTAATGCCCAAATCTCTCACTCCTCCCGTGATTATAGTCACAGAGACCTTGTGAAAAGCCTGACAAATGGGTACCCCTGGCTCCAGGAGCAGCCAGAGCTTCTGCCTCTGTTGGGCTCTTCTTGTCTGGTTTCTTTCCCTTGGATTTCAAACCCAGATCCTCTTGCTCAAGTCCAGCCTGTGGGGATTACCAAATCCACTTTAGATATAACCTACCATTATTTTTAGTAAAACCATTAATATAGGATTTGATTTAACATCAACCATGTTGTTTTCATTTTTAAACTAATTTGCTTTGATTAGAGCCATTATTTTGACCATGGAGAGGGACATGTTTTTAATTAGACTATTTTACAAGACACTGCCTCTCCTGTTTCTTGCGTGAGTGATGCTCCCTCACCCAGCCTAGGGATCTAGGGTGCCTCTCTCCAGGCTAGAGCTCAGGGTCCTGGGGGTTCCCCTGCTCTGGAAGGGACTCTCCCTCAATCAATTATTTAGAAATTTGTTGAATATGTTTGTACCTACTAATTAAAGTTATAGATTGAAATAACTCCCAAATTGCCTCTGTCTTGAAGGTATTAACACCCTGTGATAACATTTCCCAAATTAGTGTCCATCCCTTAGGGTGATGGGGTTATTTGAATAAATTTAGAAAATGTTCCATATAATCCTTTTTTTTTTTTTTTTTGGAGATTTACAATGCACAATAGCATGGTGAAGCCTCTGAGATGAGATATATATACTTATTTAACTTTTTATTGTTACAATTTTCTTTTCTTTTCTTTTCTCTTTTAATAGAGACAGGGTCTCACTCACTGTGTCACCGAGGCTACAGTGCTGTGGTATGATCATAGCTCACCTCATTCTTGGACTTCTGGCCACCTCAGCCCACCAAGTAGCTGGGACTATAGGTGTGTGCCACCATGCCTGGCTGTTGGTATTTTCAAAACAATTTTTCATACAACACTTACTGTAGTTTTTTCAAATTACATGTCTTGGGTCATAAAATCAATTGAACAGGTTAGGATCTGCATTTTTCTTGATGAAATAGAATGTGTAATAGAAGTGGTCACTGTGCATCATTCTTAGTGAGGGTTACTAGTGTTTGATGAAACTTTGGCTCCTCCATGTATAACAAGTACCAGTCCATGAGGCAGTGGAGAGTAGTGGTTAAGAGCACTAGAGAGGCCAGGTGTGGTGGTTCATGCCTGTAATCCCAGCACTTTGGGAGGCTAAGTCAGGTGAATCACTTGAGGCCAGGAGTTCAAGACCAGCCTGGCCAACATGGAGAAACCCTGTCTCTACTAAAAATACAAAATTAGCCAGGCCCGTGGTGATGCGTGCCTGTAATC